GGGGGATTGCAGTTCCCCCGGGTGAGGTACGGGTGGGCGGGGCACATGATGAAGCCCCGCCCCCTGCTTCCGGCCCTCATTCAGCCAGGAGGAGGCAGGAGAAGAGGGAAGGTAAGTTGCTTCCTCCCTGCCTCTCCCCACCCTTGCCTGCCTGGGGCCAGGGAGGGCCTTCGCGGGGCTTCCTTGCACTCCTGTCGGCCTTGCAGGTCCATTGCCGGGCCCCTCATGGGGCTCAGCAATAGAGCTGCAAGGCCGGCGGCGGCCGGGACCGTTGGGGGCGGGGTGTGTGGCCTTATGACACACTTCCGGTGATGTCAGGGGGTGTGGCACATGCTAATGAGTTATGCTAATGAGCTCCCCTAGCTCTTTTTCTATGAAACGACCCCTGGTATAGGGCAGCTTCATATGTTCATGACTGATTTTGCTGATTCTATTATTAATTTTTTTTATTGTTTAATAATTTTTAAATGAAGCCCTAACTAGCCTGAGCTTGTCAGAACTTGGAAGATAAGCAGGGTTGGCCATGATTAGTACTTGGATGGGGGACCACCAAGGAAGACAAAGGTTGCATTGCAGAGGAAGCCAATGACAAAGCACCTCTGCTCATCTCTTGCCTTGAAAACCCTCTGACAGGGTCACCATAAGTCAGTTGCAACTTTATGGCACTTAATTATTATTATACTATTTTAGCAAGGTATTGCAGATTCTCAGGATTTTCATAGAAGCCTTCTGGATCTATACAAGCATACTGCATATATAAATTAAAACTTACCCAAGCAACTACAAAACAAAAGAGGACTCATGGACACTTTTCAGTTCAGATTCCGTTCCAGCCATGGAATCTAAGCTGAAATGGACATGAGCACTTTTGTTTGCAAAATGCTTAGCGAACACGAAAGCATTGTTTTTTTAATGCAGAAGGAGAAGGATCAAAAAGCCCCTCAAGCCCTCCAGTATTAACAGCAGCAATAGGGTGAAAAAACTGCCCAACTTTGCCACCTCTCATGGTTTTTACCTGCTCAGTTCAATGGCAGTTTGTCTTTGGTTGGCAAGGCCTCCTTTGCTCATCCAGAAACTACACCAATGTGCACTCCCTGGAGTTATCCAAATACAATTATTTCCAGGTTGGGGCCTGTAAGCTTTGAGTGGGTCCTATGATCCATGGAAATAGAAGGAACTGAAGTATTCTACTCTAGTGGCAACTGGATGGCAGTTTCCACCGCAGTCAAGAGTGTCCAACAAAAACAACACTGAGAATGCTATTAAACTAGTTCTCTGACTTGCTTGCATCAGCCTTCTGGATGATCTAATGAATTAGACACCATGTTCCTACCAAAGTAGAGCAACTGGCCAATATAGCAGAGCTCCTAATTGTTCCATCAATATCCTCTCCCCATTTCTCCATCATAGTAGGACAGGGGGTTGTGACCCTCAGGTGGGTCGTGGAGCCCTGCCTTCTGGGTTGTGAGCCCCTACAGACACCATTTTTTGCTGCTTCTTGGAAGGACCTGCTGCTAGTGTCCATGTGTAGAATGGAAGCGTACCATGCCTCCCTTTGCAAGCAAACTGAGAAGAACAATGTTGTTTAACATCTACACGCACTCCTTCTCCCAGTTGGTGTGGAGTTTTGGGCTGGGATGTCATCGATATGCTGATGACACCCAGCTGTATCTGTTGATGAGCGACTGGCTGGATGCCGCCCCAGGAAATTTGGATCGATATGCTGAGGCCATGGTGGGATGGTTGAAACAGAGCCGGCTGAGACTGAATCCATCCAAGACGGAGGTTCTGTGGCTGGGTAGGGGGGATTCCGGACTGGGGTGCAAACTTCCAGCTCTTGATGGTGTGCCTCTAATTCCGGCACTGACTGTCAAGAACCTGGATGTGGTTCTGGATGCCTCCCTATCAGTGGAGGCCCAGATCACAAATATTGCCAGACTGGCGTTCTTTCAGCTGCGCCAAGTCAGGCAACTGGCCCCTTTCCTGTCTTGACCTCACCTAGCCACAGCAATCCATGCAATGATCACCTCCAGGCTAGACTACTATAACTTGCTATATGCAGGGCTACCCTTGAGACTGACCTAGGGTTGCCAAACCCCCCCCCTCCCGTGTTGGCAGGGGTCCCCTGTTTTGGGGGGGCTTCTACCCGCCGGTGGCCAGCTGGCCACTGGGGGAAGCCCTGCCCCCATGCCCCACCATCACCCGCAGGCCAGCTACACGCCCGATCTCCGCTCAGAGATCAAGCGCGCGGAAACGCTGGCTCCCTGTAGTTAAAGAGGCGTTTCGTGCACCCAATCTCCACGGAGGTCAGGCATGCGGGGAAATGCTGGCTCCCTGTAGTTAAAGGGGCCCCTTTAACTGCAGGAAGCTGGCGTTTCGCGTGCCCGATCTCTGTGGAGGTTGGGCGCAAGAGGAAACGCCGGCTCCCTGCAGTTAAACTCCTGTTGGGCGGGGGGGGGGAACGTCCCCAACGTGATATCATCACGTCGGGGATGCCCCGCCCCCTCCAGGAACACCCCCCAAAGTCCCCTGCTGGGGGTGAAGATAGGACTTGGCCACCCTAGACTGACCTGGGAGTTGCAACTGGTCCAGAATGCAGTGGCGCAGGTCCTCACCAGAGTCCCATGGACAGCACACATTCAACCAGCTGCACTGGCTCCAGGTGGAGTACTGGATCAGTTTCAAGGTTTTGGTGTTAACCTTTAAGGCCTTAAACAGCCTGGGACCCTCTAGGCTGAGTTAGTGTAAGCTAACTCATAGTTTTTTGGACTCCAGATCACACATTTTTGTCTTAGCTCAGGAAGGATGGCTCCAGAGCAAACTAATTTATGCAGTAGCCAAATTGCTCACTCACAACTTTAATGCCAGTAGCTCACAAAGTAGAATTGCTGCTCACAAGACTCCACAGCTTATAGGGAGCATTGCCTGGGACCTATGTATCTATGGGACTGCATCTACTGGTATAACCCCTGAAGAGCATGACACTCTGTAGATAAGAACTTAGTGGTGATCCCTGGCCCGAAAGACATCGAGCTGTTCTCAGCCAGAGCCAGGGCCTTTTTGGGCCTGGCCCCGACCTGGTGGAACTGTCTGCCAAATGACATCCATGCTCTGCAAGGCCTTATGCACTTCCGCAGGGCCTGTAAGGCAGAGATGTTCTGCCAGGCTTACGGCTCAAGACAGTGATGGTCTCCATCTTCTCTGGCACCCTCTTTCTTCCCCCTCCTACCACTGGGTAACAGTATTTGATTATTTTAGCACCATCTGAAATTGTTTTGAAATTATCTTAAATCATTTTTGGTTTTAATTGTCTTATTAATTAATGAATGTGTTTTTATATTGTTGTTCACTGCCCTGAGCCTTGTGTTTACAGAGGAGGGCGGTCGAAAAGTCTAATTTATAAATAAGTAAATATAATAGGAGGGTGAGGCAAGGTCATTTGACAGTGAGGAATCCTCCATCGCTTTAACCCATGGCTACCCCCCGGTTGTGTTTCTTGTCCCCAGTTCTCTTGGTCTGCTGTTTACTGGCCTGGGCTTGGCGCTGATGAGGTTTTGACTCAGTTTCCCGCTCCTGTCAGATGACTGTGATGTCCCATGCTTGCTCCTTTGTGGGTTCTGTGCTGTGATTTAGGGGTCCAAGGTCCAGAAAGGTTGAGGTAGGAGATACCGTTAGCTCTCTGATTCACGCACTCTTACCCTGGTCAGATTTTATTTCTATATTTTTCATCCTAGGTCCAAGCAGTTGCCTTATCTCCCCAATTCATTTCCTTTGAATTTAATTGTTGATCGTTATATAGACTAGCCGAGCTCTTTAAGTATACAATTGTTGAATAAGAGTTCTTTGCCTAGCAGAGATGGTTTTAAGGTGATGATGTATAAGGTGGTATAATTGTTTTAGCCACTCTTTTATAAAATTATTGGATTACGCTTCTGTTTGCCACGTGAGCAATGGAAGAATTCTCATTTTTAAATGGTTCCCAACAACCGGTAAGCACCATTACCCTGAGCTTGTGACAGAGTGTTGTTATTTTGAAGATTAGCTTGATCTTTTAGATCATGTGTTGAGGAAGAAATCAAAGTTTCTATTGAGTTGCTCCTTGGGTTGCTGAAGGATGCATGAAGAAGACCCTTCTTTTACTATGTTAAGTTGCATGAGTTACTGCAAAGGGTGAACCATTTGAAACACATTTCTGCCCTAAAAGGTTTTGGTGGTTTGTTCTTCCAATGGCAAACACAGCTTCTTGACATGGCAGAATTTCATTGGCTGTTGGATCTGAGGGGTGATTCCAGAAACACACTGATGCAAATAAACCTTCCACAACATTCTATGCAAATGAACAAGGAACTGCTACATGACCACGTGGTCGCATCACATGGGAGTGACGTCATCACAGCAACGCCCCCTGGCAGTGACGTCACATCCCAAAATCACGCGGGAGTTTCTACTTTTGTGTCCTGAAGAGGTGCCAAGCCCAGAGAGTGGTCACTGGAGGTAACAGGTGAGCAACTGATAAGGAGAAGAAAACTTCAGAACTCCCAGAGCGCACCCAAGGAGCTGCACTCTTCACACCATTCTTCCTGGGGAGTTGGTGCTGATGGAGGCAGCCAATGGGAGCGCTGGACCAAGCCTCTCCTAATTGGTCCATTGCCTGATATGCAAATGAGGGGAAACGTCACTTCCTGGGACAAATCGAGCGCCATTTTCTCTTTCTGGCTCTGGAACGAGGGAGGAGCGGGCGGGTGAAGGAGAGCGGGGTTTAAGTGCTAGGAGTCGTGAGGGGGAGCCGAGTCGGTCGCGCAGGGCTGGTTGGGCGCCCCTGGGCAGTGATGCTGGTGCCGCTGCTGCCCGCGCCGGTGCGGCTGGCTCAGTGAGCGCGGGCTCCGGCTCGAGAGCGGCGGCGGCAGCAGCAGCAGCAACACCAACACCAGGCGGAGCCGGGCGGGGCTCCTGCGGCGTGAGTGACCGGCCGACAGGCCAGGCGGCGGAGGGGAAGGGGAGGCGGCTGCAACGCGCCTGCGCGCCTCTGGGAGGCGCAAGCCAAGAAGCCGCGGGCAGGCGGCGGACTCCCCCTGCAGGCCGGACAGGTAGGTGCAACCAGCGGCGCCTCGCCGCTCCAAGACCCGCTCGCCGTCTGCGCTCGAGGGAGCCCCCCTCCCACCCCTGCCTCTCCGCTCCTCCCCCTCCCTTCTCCGCCTCCGGCCAAGCCTCCGTTCTCCTCCCCCTTGGCGGGCATCTGGACCATCCCCCGGCCGCTCTGGGGAATGGC